ACAGTTTATGGTAGTAGTAGAATTATATTATAATAGTACTACTAGTATTTTTTTTACCTGAGTGCTGCTTTTATTTTTATTCAATTAACCTAACCTGTTCCGATGGGTCTCTGTTTTTGTATTTCATAATCCATGATGTATTCTGGTGGGAGCTTTAAAATCTGACCTCAGAATAACAGAATATTATTTAACTACAACATTCCGTTGATGATAAAACTGAAAAGTTCTGGTTCTAAAAAGATCAGTTTATTTGTCTGGTCGTCAGAGATTGTTTACAAAGCATCAAAATGTCGTTGAACTCGTTCGTCTCACATGTTCATAACTGTGCTTAACAGCATGTACATTTGTATACTATATGTGATGCCATTAGAATGATTTATATTTGTGTTGGATACAGTTGGGCAGCAGCCTGTTACATTTTTTACGCATTATGGATTCTCTGCTGACATCTAGTGGCCATAGTTAAAAGTTTTCACACATTAAAAACAATGCCGTTTCAAGTTTTTTTATTTTTATTTCCAGCTAACAAATATGTTTACTGGCTAAAGAACATATTTCTACCTAGTAATTTAAAAAAATGAACCAAACTGTAATATATTTTTCCACGGTGCTTTAAATAATAGTTAACATTTGTTTTTAATTGTTATTTACAATAATCCGGATGTCATTACCATTCAATATGTCCAAACATTTATGTAACACTGCACATCCCATGTGTTTTCAATATACTGTACTTGATGTTTACATTCATCACACTCACAACACATCATCAGGTGTTTTTAAAGCACGTGAGGACAAGTCAACACAGAAGCATTGGCAGTCGGGCCGTTCCCATTGGCATGGTTATAAGCACTTGTAATGGAGCACAATTACAGTAGCATTCTTAATGACACGATTGCTCTGAGGCTAAAGAATGTGACCTGGTATGCAACTCACCAGCATAGAGAACACATGACATTGCAAAGATCACAACGTGCTTTAACAGTAATCACCGCACGACACACTGTGAAATTCACTGTAGTTAGTAGAAGGAATACAGTTCCAACTGTACTTTAATTAAGTTTCCACACTCATGGAAATATTTTCAAGTCAGCCTTGAACTCTTAAAACCTTGAATTACTCAGGAAAGACAACAAACTTCCCCTCAACTTTTCAAAGGTCACGCTTTAGTCCTTTACACATTCAGAAAATAACAAATAGTGCTGTGTATCGCTGCGTGATCAATTACTTTGGCTAATCTACAATTGTCCTTTTTCTATGTGGATCTACTGTAAATTCCTGCTACTATTATGGTATGTGTAATCTTGTCTCCTGTTTGGCACAGGGTCATGGTCTAAAAATAGACATGCAGTTCTCATCACAGGGATGTGTGTTCCCTGTGGATGAAGTCAAAGAAGGGGCTACTGATGCAAAAGAAGCCAACAGAGTGAAAACCAACAGGGGGCGGTGGTGGATTGAGAACTTAATTGCCCATTCGGGCAATTTCGTGCAGCATGGAGCCTTATTTCTACAGTTAGTACTAACTATTTTTTATTCTTACAACTCCACCCTGTAATTTTTTTTCTCCCACAGAAACTTTGGTCTGAATTCATGCTCAGAATTCGATCTTGCAGGCAGGAAAGGTCTCGTCTTGCATGGCGACAGTGCTGTTGGAGCCCAGCACAGTGATCCCGAGCTCCCTCTGTCTGTCCAGGGTCTGCTGGTACCACTCCTGCATGGACACCGACTCATAGGTGGGTATGACAGTCACCTGTTGACACAGAGAGAGAAAAAAAACAAAGAGTAAATACAACGATTGTGTTAGCTGCAGAATAGAGTTTGATGATCCAGATCAGAGGCGTACATACTGTCCAGATGATACGTATAATAACAGCAAAAATCACAATGGTGCTCTGCCTTGTTAATTGTTAAATGTCTGTCTCACAGTCAGTTGCAGCTGTGGACTTTTGTGTAGCTCAGCTGTACTTTACAGTAAGATGGGACCAAAACTGCACTTGCAGAACTGCACCAAACAGTCAGATAAAACGATCTCTAAGATTTATCTGACGTGTAAAGGTGAATTACCTACTTCGGATGTGTTTTTTACCTGCATGTTGTCAGACCAGGTCATCTTTCCCTCGAACAGAGCGTCCAGTGTCTGTCTCATCAGCTCCTCCCTCTCTGGACTGTCTCCACTGATGATGTAGCAGGAGGAGCGAACACACTTGAAGAAGTCCACGTTGACTGTTGATGAAGAAGCTCCAGAGGGAACGTAGGCCAGGTCCACATATACACTGACTTCACCAGCAGAGGTCGTCTTTGAGCCTGTAACAGTGAGGGGGGTAACTGTGGCGTACACAACCATGGAGGGAAAACAGAAAAGGTATGAAGGTAGAAATACCTGCACCAGTGTTGGGTGAGGATTTGGCGGGTGCTGAGCGAGAGTTGAAGGAAGGTGTACGACTAGAAGAGACTCCACTTTGGCTCCCGGTCCTTTTTTTCCCTGAGCCTGACTTGTTGGGCCCGTCAACAACCTAAAAGACAGATATACTGTCACCAGAAGAAGCCTTGACTCAGGAAAAGATAATCTGCAAAAAGTTTATATTTCAATAAGTTTTTAAACATATATTTTTATCATATTTTTTGTTGTTTATTGTAAAGTTTTAGCACCTTCCTACCACTTTTTACCTTATGTACTCGTATCTTACCTTTTTTGCCAAATTACATCAGTAAAAAATATTTTTTACTTAATATATAATTAATAGTATTTTTTTCAAATATCCACACTGTAGGCCTAGACCGCTGGAGAAATGCCCAGGGTGTAAACATTGACAGTTTATGACCTTTTTAGGTATATTTAACAACATTAGACATTTATATGATTTCTTACGTTTACTCCAGTACTGACCACATTAAAAACTGACTACGTAATATTAGTAATAGCAGGGTGTAATGACGATCTGAACACACTGCCTCTGGCTCTGATACTCAGACGTTAGTGTTGAGAGGACAACTCACCCCTGGCATTTTTTTGCCCACCATGCTGCTGGCTTTAAGTCTCTTCCCTTGGGTGTCAAGGTTGGACTGAGGGACAGGCATGGAGGTGTCTGGATGTGGGGGCAGAGGTGGACTGTCCCTGAGAGGGACAGGAAGAGGGTCTGAGGGCAGAGCCTGACTGGCACAGAGGTCACGTGGAGAGTGAGTCGGCTCACTACAAGACTCGTCCTCATCAGAGTCCAGCGCTCCATCTGCTGTGGTGGATGGACAGTCCTCTGTGCAAACAGGAGCGTTTGATTCACTGGGGGACGTGTCTTTGGGGTAGTTGTTGTTGGTGCAGTAGTGATGTGGGGCAAAGTTTCCTCTGCAGGACTCACCCGATTCAGGAGGTTTGAAATGCTTGAACTCACAAGGAGAAACCAGACAAAGATCTACCTCATGAGGTGACAACTCAAAATGAAGACTGCTGGGAGCTGGGGGTCGGCCTGGATCTGACCCTTGACCTAAAGATCTCGGGGGCTTCTTCATCCCCAAAGACATCCCTACGAAATGGGTTCCGTTGGAGTGGGAGTGGACAATGCTGTCATCGCTCTCCCTCTGGCTCACGTTAGTCGATCCCTGCTCGAAGGACATGGACAGAGACTCGTCCACTTCTGTGGACTGAGGTGAGCTCACCTCTGCTGGCATGGAGTGTGTGGTGGTGGTGGTGGTGGTGGCTACAGACGGAGACGGATCTGACGAGGTTTCTTTGAATGTACCTAAGGACAGGAAGCTCAGATGCTTCTCCCTAGGATTAGCTTGGGTCTCCGTGTTGGTTCTGGACTGACACGGTTGTCTGGACGATACATTTGTCTGGTTGACGTCAGGAGACTCATCCGAGCTACTCTACAGACGGAGATGGATCTGACGAAGTTTCTTTGAATGTACCTAAGGACAGGAAGCTCAGATGCTTCTCCCTAGGATTAGCTTGGGTCTCCGTGTTGGTTCTGGACTGACACGGTTGTCTGGACGATACATTTGTCTGGTTGACGTCAGGAGACTCATCCGAGCTACTCATCTGGGCCTGCAGTTTGCTAAGAGTTACCCTGTTGCACCACACATCATCTGGGGAAAGACAGTACGGAGTGTGGCCTGCACTGTTGGGCCTGGAGTCGGGGGAGGTCGGCTCTACTGTCTCCTCATCAGGACTGACTGGGACCTGGTTCCCCGGAGACGACCTGGAAGGAGGACTGTGTTTCAAAGCCCCGTCTAAAAGGGTATACTCAGTTGGGGTTAAGTCTAGCTGGACCGAACGTTGACTCTTTGGTGTCTTATTTAACGGAGCTGGAAATCCTACAACGTTTGCTGGTTTGGAAACATTTCCTGTCTGGTCCTGCCTTTCTGCTCCATCTTTATCTCCAGCTCCAGTTTTATCTTGGACTTCATTATCCACGCTACATGCTCTCATCATCCCACCTGCTGTTTCTTCCCCTGGTGTATCTGAAGCTTCAGTACTTTTTTCTTTGTTCGGTCCTCCTAAGATCTTTTCATTTTCTGACTCACTGCTTTTCTGTTTGGAGTCAGATGCTGTTTCCTCTCTGAGCCTGAGAACATCGGCTGTTATATCCTCGGGTGTAGATGTTTTAGAGCTGCAGGGGTTCTCTTCAGGCTCTTTCTTTGCTTTTGGACTTTGTTCCTCTGTAGCTTTACACTCTGGGATTTCTAACACGTTCTCCGTGTCAGGATTTAACAAGAGCTTGTTTGATAAGTCAGTCTTGTTGACGTTATTACCTTCTTTCCCTGCTGGTTTCTTCCCTGTCTTTGCTCCAGTTTTAGACTCGTTCTTTGACTCCTTTTTGATCTTAGCTCTTGCATCGTTCCTTGGTTTGGAGGAGAGGCCGTCCTTTTTAACTTGACCATTCTTGATAACACCATTCTCTTCTTTATTACCTGTCTTCTCATCTTTTTTTCCATCTTTCCCTGTCCCTTTCTTTGGTGCTTTCTTCTCTGTCGATGCTGTTTTTTGCTTTCCACCCAGCTCCTTTGTTTTGGTCTTATCTCCAACACCTACCTTTCCTTTCTCTTTGGCTGACACCTCCTTGTTCTCTTCTCTGGTGCCTCTTTCTTTCACATGTTTCAGAGTCACCTCCTTCCCTTGTGACTTGACACTATCCTGACTCTCTCTCCTCTTGGCCTTTTTGTCCTCGCTCAGCTTCTCCAGGTCACCAGTTGTCACTGTGGGTTTCTGGAGGAAGGCCAGGCCCTTCAGCTTCTCCAGGCCCTGCAGCAGCTTTGTCTGTGGAGTAACACCAGGAAACAACACCCTGACGACCTTCTCCTGCGGGCAGGCTGGATGCCACACGAGCAGGGCAGACACTGAGGTGAGGGCAGTGAGAGGTACTGATTGGGATTTGGTTGCTGTGGACACTCCATCAGGCCAGTTCTGCATGAACATCTGATACTCCTGGCTGTTTTTACTGGGATTCAGGACGTACACATCCAGCTGACCCACACCCATCTTCTGAAACAGAGTTATTGGCTCAATGGGGACCCCTTGTGTTCGAAACATTGGTTGTGGTATGATTTCGAGCCTCTTTAGTAAATGCATAGTTAGTGCCCCCTGCTGGCTGCTCCTTAGTACAGCGTCCACACCTTACAGGGAAAGAATGAATGAATTAAATCTGTTTTTGATAGATATTATTATTGTTTTCTGAACACCCCAGTCCTGTCACTCTGCAAAACACATTTATTTGACCATCTTAAAAAAGAAACCGTGATCAAAATTATTTACTCCCTCGTCTTGAAAGTCAGTGTTTTGGGAGTGAGCAAAGTTTTTTAAGCAGATTCTTCCCGGCAAGGAACTTGGTCTTCAGCTTCTCCACACATTGTCTGTACAGTGTGTGTCTAAGTGTCTTTTTTGTCAAGTATATTCTAGAATGTTGGATGACAAGGACACACGGCCGAGGTCGAGTTTTGCTGATGACTAATTAATATGGGCCTTATCTATACACCTCTCTGTTACAGATGATTTTACTGTCTTACTCACTCGGTTGTGGGTCCATCTCCAACCTGCTGGGGGCGTTGAAGAAAACAACTCCAAGCTCAGGAGAGATCAGCTTCTTCGACATGTCATCTGTTTGAATTAAAGAATGTAACATGAGAAGGAGAAAAAAGATTTTTCTCGTTATACGAGGAAACATCGAGTTACGATTACAGCCCCACTGAATAGGTATATAATTATGTGACTCATATTTAAATAGACAAAATTAACAACATATGCTGACCTTTCAGATCAGACCTCAGCTCCAGTTCTGCCACCTTCCTCTCCAGGAAGGTGTTCACACCTGGCAGGTTTTCCGTCCCGATGTGCGTCAGCAGAACAGCATCCACTCGGTCAAGGTGACAGACCAGTTTCCAGAAACAAGCCTGCGTGTCCGAGCCACCGTCCACCAGCACCGTGAAGCCATTCACAGCAAAGAATGCACAGTCACCACGGCCAGCGGGAAACACGTAGCAGCACGGTCGGGACAGTTTGAGGAAGCCCACGGTGGTGGGAGGAGGCAGGAGGTCAAAGGTCGATGAAGAGGTGAGGGTTCCAGAGACCAGGGAGGTAAACTCCCCCAGGGTCTCCATTGTAGGCAGCACCTCTGGGGGATTGATGTGAAGTATAAACGGGCCCTGACGACTCCGGTGCCTGGACAGAGTCGTCCTCCACTCACCAATGTTAGGGCAGCAGAGGGTCAGGTTGAACTTAGAGGAGGAGGAGGGGGTGGTGGAGCATTCCTGATTTATGAACTGAGGAGCAAACAATAATAACTTTAAGATAAAACTACATCAGCCAACAATTTATTTTATAATGAAAGTAAAAAACGCTATATGTTTCAGAAATTTTGGGGTTTTTTTGCCTGCTCTGTGAGTATTTGTTGGAGATGTTGTGGTGAGAAAAGTCCTCTGTGAAAGAGCAGGTCACCGCTCTGCTCCTCACTCTGACCAGCCAAGATCAGGAGCTTATGAGCTGAGTTCCTCACCAGAAGAGAAGACACCTGAGAGAACAACAGTGAACACCATATGAGTTGGTCTGTAATTAAAAAAAAAACAGAACATAGGAGTACAAAAAAACATAAAAACCCTACTTGAGTATATTTTGGTTTGGATTCTTTTCTCAATTATACATCTGGAGTAAACTGGGAAACTCAGAAAAACAAGATATCTGGAGATATCGCAGCTTTTTTGGTCACGAAAACAGTATTAAATACATCAAGTCAAGAACATTTTGTAATTTGATGTCATGTGTCAATGAATAAATAAATTGATGAATCCTAAATATCACAAATTTAACATCTTTTATTTCTGGTAAATAATAATAATCATTTCTCTTTTTGGTTGTATTTGAGGGGCTGTCCACTCACCTCCAAGTGAACCTGTTCCTGAGACGGACTGATCAACACCTGAGTGTCCAACACTTTGGCATTGTGCCGCAGACACTTCTGCCCTGAGGAGAAAACAACAGATGGAAGAAGAAGGTCAGACATGTGGAGAGCCGAGGAGGAGGACGTCAGTCAGAAAGACACTGACAGCAGAGTAAGAAAACATTCTCTGAAAAGTCATGGGGGAAGTGAGGCGAGAGAATGGTAGGAGTGATTGACAGACTGAGTGGAAAAGGGTGAGAGAAGAAAGAGTGAGTGAACAGCGAACAGCTGAGTCAGACCAACTGTCTGTGGATGAGACGCCAACTTTACTCTGTCTGCAGTGGAAACGCAGGGACAAATGCTCAGCTGAGACATAAACAGAGACAAGAGAACTCCCTTCAGATGTCTCATGGTCAGGGTCAAACATTAGCAGGGGCTCAGGGCCAAATGCCCTAAAAAAACATCTGAGATCAACCATGGAAAAGCTATCTGGGGGACTTTTGTTTGTTTAAATGTTTGTTTAAAAAAATCGTTTCCAATGTTAATAATTTAACAAAGACTTGCAGGATGAATAACCTAGATTTATCAACTGAAACTAAAACAAATACCAGTAAGTTGTTTATAGTTAGCCACAAAAATTACCCCACACTTTAAAAGCATAGAAATGAAGACAAACTGATCACAAAACAAAGTCAAATCTTAGCCACAATGCTCTAACACTGTCAACACTATAGGGAAGAGCAGAGGAGAAAAACTCAATTAAAAATATTTCATTTCACAATGTTCCTTTATAAAATACTGAAAAACTGTTGTAAAAGTTGGAGAAGAAAAATAGCTAGCATACTTCTACCAAGGTATCAAAGTTAGCAACAAAGACATCATAGCTTAACGATAAGCCAAAATGTCTGTGATCCAATGTAGATTAAATACATCACCGCCGAGAAATTAGCGTAGCCGAGAAATGGCCATAAACGCAGTAAAGAGTGTTAAATTAAAAGCTGCTACAGTTTGGCTAACAGTGGCTCTGCTGCAGCAGAAAAGCATATCTCTATTCACAACATTATTATTGTTGTTTTGTGAATTCCTGTCTAAAAAATTTTAAGTAAGACTTCGCTCCATATCTGCACCAGCTGATGCTGACTCGGGTGTTCTGGAGGTTTATTTCTGGCCATTCTTTCCCCTCCTCTGTCGTCTGGCACTTTGTCTTAGTGAAAGCTAAAGTGTCCCAGGTCCCTCTCCTAAACCGTCGCCAGATGAAATGGAATTGAATTGAACGACTGCAGGTCATAAAGTACAGGCAGCTCTCTCTGTGTCATGTTTCCCCTGCTCGACTCCGAGTTCAACTGCAGACACAGAGGTGGTAGTTTGGACTTTTTTCCTATTGTTTTCCGTTTGGAGGACCGCCCATGTTTAACAATCATCAGACTGGTCCTCCACTTTCCTTCCTTCCTTCCGTAATTCCTCCCTTTTTGACACAACACCCATGGAGCTGGCAAGTTACCTTGGTGAGGGACTTTCTCTGAGGTCAACAACGTTGAGACATGAACGTTAGGTACAGTGTTTTCTTACCTGCGCTCTTGAAGGACACTGTATAACAAGTCAGGAATTCTTGAAGATGGAGGTTCAGGTTACAGGTGTTTAAGTCGACGTCCCATGATCTAACGCCTGGAGACACACAAGGTCACATGGTTTATTGTACATATCTATACAAAAAGTATCCTTATTGACAATATTTTGTAAATGATGAAATGTAATTCAGGTTTACCTGTATCATAGCTAATTTACAATTAGCTATTAGCTCAAATAAAATCTATTAGCCAGTTTGACTTTTAGTTATTTCTGACCTAGCTCTTAGTTTTATTCTGTTTTTAATTATTGTTGTCAGACTGTTAAAATAAAAGTTTAAATATGTATTTCTTAATAGAATCGATTTGGTTAGATTTAGCTACTTTTTATTTGCCTTTATCTGCTTCCTTGTCTCAACCTCTGTTCCTGTTTTGTTTTGTTTTTTTAGCATTTTTTGCTAAACTTTTGGTATAGTTCAATCTATCTTTTGGTTTACTTTGAGTTACTTCTACGCATTATAGTTACTTATTGACTAAAATAACACCTATCTCTCAGTTACTATTTTAGCCATATCTGAGCTAAATTCTAGTATTCTCCCAGCTTTTAGATATCTTTGGGAGACTGTAAGTATTTCTTGGGGGGAAACTATTCATTTATTGACACTTTGTTGTGATTAGAATGATTTAAGATTAGATTTTGTTGGATTTTTATTTACCTTTAGCTGCTGCTTTGTCTGAACTGCCTGTTTAGCTAATTTCGCTGTTTTTCACTGACGATGCTGATATAAGTTCCCTCTAAACGCACCATTGTGAGAAATTTAAAGGACAATTTCATACATTTCAAGGACATTTCTTTCCAAACTTACTGTTGATCTTAAACCCTAACACAGATTAGATACATCTTTTTTTTACCTCGTGTAAATTCCCGTTAGAAAACCTGCAGTGTGGAGTGTGGAAACATGCTGACCAGGCTCATGAAAAGTTGATGATGACATGATGTTAGTGGTATGTGGTTTTCACTGACAGTGATAATATGATAAATGGCTGAACTGCATCGGTTGAATGGAGGTTTTCGTCTCTCATTTGTTCATCGTTTACTTCACCATAAACCTGCGTCTCTGGAGAGGCTCTAGGAAAACGCACTGTCCTGCTTTAGTAATGCATACGGCTCTGCACAGAGGCTCCACATTTAAAGCTGGACAATAAACACCAGCTGTTTACAAGTGTTTGCCCCTCATCATGTGTTGACATTAACGCCCTAAGCATCTCCTTGTATAATAAAAAATGACATAATGCTGCGGGCTTTGTGCCTGTTTTTATTACTAACATGTCCACGGGGATGATGCTGGAGGAGCCTCGACACATGACGCATTCTCCTTGTCAATATGGTCTACATAAATTACCTCAGGCTAAAAACATTGTATCAGGGCTGGTCTATAGATGGAGAAACACCCGGCGTCTGGATTTTTCATCCCAAGGAGTTCAACTAGCGACTGTAAAATAAGAGGCGCACTGGAACAAAAACGTACCTCGTTCAATTTCCCTGCCGATGTGTCCTGTCTGTGTGATGTGAGCGGTTTGTCCGATGATGAGGAGGAGAGAGTATCTCTGCTGACAGTAGTCCTGGTCTGCAGCGGTCGCGGGTCTCCTCGGCTCCTCCTGGTCCTCCTGCCGGACCTCCCTCTTCTCCGGTGCGCGGCTGCCGCTGAACGCCATGTTGGAGAGTTGTGATGTCATTGGTACAAAAAAAACCAGACTGCGCCTTTTATTACAGGCTGAAGATGACAACTGATGTGCTGCTATGCAGCCCTGCATTAGTGAACGTGTAGGAAGAGGCTGAATTATTGATGGCACACATTAGGGGGGAATCAATCGGTAACGTTTTACTTTATTGTTGTCGATCAAGTGGTGGAGGATGATCGTTGAATCATTTTAATCAAAACAAACGAGTGATGCTTATGGAAAAAGAAATATAGCTTTCAACATGTAGTTATTTTCTTTTCAGAATAGAATTTCCATATATTTTCCCCCATATTATGCTGCTGGTTAAAAACTGTGGTTCAGGGGCCAATTGGCGCTTTAATTTTTTTATTTTAATTTCCCTTTTCCTTCTTTTCTTTTTTTACACCTGTGTTTGAGATAACCTAAAAAGTCACAATTCACATTTGTACAACTTCTGTACAATGGCATGTGTGTATGGGTTTTTTAACCAATGAATAACAAAAACCTAACCCACTATAAATTTGTGCAGTTGTGGCTAGAAGTGATTCCAAGTTCTTGAAAGGAAACAGGGAACAACCAATGAGACAAACATATAGAACAACTAATCCCTTTTGTTGAGACTTCTTTAAAAAAGCAAGTAGCAAAGAAGTTAACAAACTATTAGCAATAAAGTTTTAGGACCCATCATCAGTGACAATTATAAGTTTTAGGACCCATCATCAGTGACAACTGAAATGGTTGATGCTTATAGGTGTTGGAAACAGATTAGGTTATTAGTCCATTTGCCCCTATTATAAACAAGGATGAGCATCGTACAGTAAAGGTCTGTTCTCAAGAGCACACATGGACCGTTGAACTGAAAAGAGAATTTATTGATCCTTTACAAATACACAAAGTCCTCCATCAACAGAAACAGACACAAACATTTGGAAAGAAACATGCAGAAACTACACGGAAAAAGGACACAAGTAGAGGATGACTCAATCCCACACAAATAACTGCTCCCTCCTACGATGCTAAACCAGAACAAAGACACACACACACAGCAGTAAATATGTTCAAAACAACAGTGAAGACATCTTTGCTAAGGTTAATAAAAAAATGAAAGATAACATATCACATCACATATTTTTTTACATTTAATCACAAAAAGAGTGGAAACAGTGTCAGTCTACCTGCCATGAAACACAATTCTTGTCATTTCAAACCCTTAAACACGTGGCCATTTACCTTCTGTGGGTTTTTAACTTTCATTTCTTCTTTCACAAACATTTTAGGACATAAAAATTACAGGATGTCCCACGAGGGCAGCTGCAGAGTGTGCCGATACGTGCACCTTTACGCAGGGCACATGGTTCCCCTGCATCGCACTGAGGGAAAGATTAGATAGAAATGAACATGTAAAATGACTGAACTCATTGAAAATATTCCAAGGACAAATTCTCCATCATAGCACATTTTTAGCTTAGAAAATGTCAACAATTTGTATTAGTTTCGTTGTTGTTGTTGTTGTTGTTAACTCACTGAAGGCAGCCAGCCATGCTTTTTCTCTGAAGGCATCTCTTTGCTTCTCAGTTTCTCCAGTACTTCTTGTAACGCATCAATCTGTTCAGAAAGACATGTAAGAAATATTATACTTATAACACTTTTTTCAAACCTATTGATTATGAGAATATGTCAAAAAACATGTTGTAAGAAAGGACATAAAGATGGTTGTGTGGTAAAGGCAATTTACCACAGTGTCGTCTAACAAATACTATCATATTTCTGAAAGCTTCTCTCACACATGCACAAAACCTCTCACCAGATCTTTTTCCTGTTGGTTTTTGATGGCAAAATCTAACGAGCGTGTCTCTAGTGATGAGGAGTCTTCAGAGTTCACCAGCCACAGGTACGCACAGCAGCAGGTGACCACAAAAAGGAGGGTTCTTGCACTGACCATGGTGCTGAAAACAAAGACCGCAGGAGTCGCTTTCTTCAGTGGGTGGCAGTGTGGAGAGTTTAGGGATTGTTGCTGTATTCAGAATCGCCCTTTTTATAGCTCCTTAACTGCTGCTGACCTCAACCAGGCTGTAAAATATTCATGAACACTGTAACATGTTTGACCTATATCAACACCTCTGTATTTGTATTTGTAATGGGAAGGAACCGGATAGAGAACAGGGGTCACAGGTCACAGGTTATACTGGAATAAATAATTCGAATGAATCTGTGCTGAAAGCTTTAAGCAGTCAGAAAGTCAGATGATATATATAATCTGTAAAACATTTATAAATATAAAGAATTTTCTTATTTAAAAAATGTTTCTGTTCGTTTTTGGTATCTTTTTAAAAAATAAAGTGATATAACACCTCGGGTTAATGCACAGTGACATCAATCTGTAATCAGGATCCAATTTCCTTTTATTGGAATAACCTAAATGATCCCATGAGCACTGTTTGCATTAGTTTGTGTGTGTGTGTGACAATTCACATTACTCTCTAGAGATTTTTTTTTTCTTTCACATTTTAGTAATTACCTCCACCTGCCCCATTGATCTTTAGGGGCCTTACGTCTTTAACTGTCATCTTGTTTAATAATGTAATTCAACATGCACATCTGAAAGCCTAAACTGTGAGACCCGATTATGTTTGCTCACTTGACAAAGAGCTCTGTTAAATAAATCTTTGACCTACTTTTATTACTCCTTATATTAGATGATATTTAGAATGGTATCATAGGCGAGAAGCAGGCTTGTTGCCTCATCAACAATATATAAAAGATAAAGGTCATGATCAGGTTTTAAAATAAAGTCTTGTTTAATTTTGTAAATTACCCGATGGTGTATAAACATTATATCGACAGACGTGTTTAATGGACACCTCAAGGAATATTATACTGTCCATGTCAGGATGTATGAATTTCAAAATTACTCTATAGAAGATTATTTTGAAGTAGTGATTAACTACCTAAACTGAGATGCAAAAATACTGTTTATGTTTTTAGCATCTGGTCTTTAAAAGGACATCGTCATGCTTTTATCTTTAAGATTATCATAATTACTCTTGCTGTTTAAAATGCTTTGTGTCAGTAGGTTTTGCTCTTTGATAAACCTTTACTTTCTTTAAATACAAAGCCACAGGCAGATATCCCTTACATTGAAAACATTAGAAAAAATAACGTTTGAACGTTTTTTATTTTTCATTTTAACGTTTTAGCGTTATGACGTCAGGGCGCAATTTGTCGCGAGTTGTCCCGGAAACGTCGGACGATTATTAAAGAGACACCCGGAAGTTTACGTGCAGTACGTGAATTGGTGTGGTGAAACATTTTCCAAACGTCTTTTCTCTCTGTGGGGAATTTGTAGCGAAGGCAGCAATGTCTGAAAGAAAAGTTTTAAACGTAAGTACACGAATACCAACTGCTACCATTTGGTTTGTTTTGATTGTAATCAAAGAGCTCTAAGCCGAAGCGCATTGCCTTAAATCAACCTTGCTGGCTACATTAGCTCTGAAGCTACTGTAACTGCCATAGAGGAAATAAGTAATCCGTAGTGCATGTGCTGATTATTTCATTTGATTTTTTTTACACACGTGTGGATTTTAGTCCATAACGTTAAATGTGTCCTTTTTCAGAATAATGTAATAATGTTACGCTGTAATGTGTGTTCCACAGAAATACTATCCTCCGGATTTCGACCCTGCCAAAATCCCCAAACTCAAACTTCCCAAGGACAGACAGTATGTGGTCCGATTGATGGCTCCGTTTAATATGAGGTACGTCTTTTCCAACTTCTTTTACCGTTCTTCTTAATATGGTGATATATTTAATAAGCTCAAACATGTACAGCAGTATAGATTTTTTCCGGGTATCACTAGTGTTCTTATTAAGTCTTATTCAGTCACAGTTAAATCGGATTTGCAGCTTAATAAAAAATATTTTGCTCTAATGTAACTTTGTTTGTGTCATTGTGTGCAGGTGTAAGACTTGTGGTGAATATATCTACAAAGGCAAGAAATTCAATGCAAGAAAAGAAACTGTTCAAAATGAACACTACATGGGCCTGCCAATCTTTCGCTTTTACATAAAATGTACCAGGTGTCTTGCTGAAATTACATTTAAGGTAAGTTTTTATTTTCTTTACTTTAAAAAAATAGCCATTTGTTTATCTGTTGTTGGTTACTAATATATGAAAACACATTTCTACAGTAAATATGTGCCAACAGGATTTAAAATGCCTTTCGTTTTCCTTTCCTTTTTTTTTAAGACTGACCCAGAGAACACAGACTATGCAATGGAGCATGGTGCAACAAGAAACTTTCAAGCAGAAAAACTAATTGAGGAGGAAGAGAAAAGAATCCAGCAAGAAAGAGAAGAAGAGGAGCTTAACAACCCAATGAAGGTGTTAGAAAATCGCACAAAAGATTCCAAGATGGAGATGGAGGTTTTGGAAAACCTTCAGGAGCTGAAGGAACTGAACCAAAGACAGGCGCAGGTGGACTTTGAGGGAATGATTGAGAAGTACAGAGAACTGGAGAAAAGGGAACGGGAGTTAGAGAAAGAAGAGGATGAGCGAGAAACCAAGTTAGTTTGTAATGTTCAAAAAGACAACAGGCGCAGCTTGGTTGGTCACCTGGACTGTTTGTATTTTATTTTATAATAACATTTCACTTGTTTTTTACAGAGAAATGTTGGACCGAGCCCTTGTGAAAAGACTAAAGGACTCAGATTCAGAAGAAGAAGAGGAAGAAGAGAGCAGCTGCAGCTCACTGTCAACAAACTCCAGCACCGACAAACCCACAGACATTTTAACCATTGACAAAACTGCAGATACTCAAGTAGGTGAAACAGAATAAATACAAGTGAAATGGAATGAAAGGTTGTTGACTTTTTTAGATATTTGGATTTATTTAAATATTTCATCATCTGTTAATATTCAGGCAGCTACAGGAGTGAAGAGAGCAAGGACAGAAAGCTGGGAGAGGAGCGTTGGAGTATTAGGAAGTGGAAAAGCTTTAGGGACTCTGGTCTTACGAAAGAAACCATCAGCAACTGTTAGCAAACCTGGTCCAGTGGTGAATACCTCCACTGATACTGCTGCTACATCCACATCACAAAAAGGTAACTTACTGAGTTTTTGTTCAAATTACTTCATGCAATGTAAATTCTATACAAGTTATTATTTCAAGATTGACCCTTAGGCTTAAAAGAGCAACTGTTATTGATGCACTCTTTCATTTCTTAAATCCTTAGGATGGAATGCTTTATTCGTTTTATTAGTTTTGTGCCGAATTGACAAACAGAGTCTTTGTTCGTCATGTTTTACAGCTTCCAGGACGGCTGAGACAATCCCCGCTTCAAAGCCTGTTACCACGCAAAGTGGAACTTCATCCCTGAGCCTACTGGGGGCGTATTCTGGCAGTGACAGCAATGAGAGTGACGAGGCAGATGAATAGAGTGATTGACACACAGTTTTGTGAATGATACAGAAAGGAATATAATCATGCAGAGATTTTAAGTTTTAGATGTTTTCTTTTGCGGCATCTCCTGTTTTTTCCATTCATAATGTATGTAATTGTAACTTTTAGACAATAAATAATGATGTGACATGGAAACACCTGTTTAATTCCACTGAAAGAACATTCAGCAGAGTCATTAAAAAAGTACAAAGGCATAAGTATTATATTCATCACAGCCTTGATATTATAAATGTAGAAAGTTTATATTATTGCATTATTACATTGATAATTAATAATAGTTAGTTGTCACAGCTCTTAGAAAGTTGGTAGTTTGGTCCTTCTTCCAGAGGGTGGCATCAGTACTGTTTCAGTCTCCTCCCTATCTTATTGTGAATATCAGACTATTATTAAAATATAACCATTGGGTGTTCCTTTTTTACTAGAGAATGTTTTTATACCAGTATCCTATCCATACAGTTAAAGAAATGTAGATAATTTTACTTTACATATCTCAACATAGATTTTTAGTCCTTCAATTACTTTGTGGTACACAAGAAAAAGAAAATTTAGCAAAACAGTCCCAAAGTCAAAAAGAATAACCATTCACATCTGCAGTTCACTTGTGTTTTTGTTTGTTTTCCCTTTTTTTAAAGTCAGAATTAAATCACTTAAGTCAGTTTTAAAGTCCGGTTTTGCTTGAACAAGTTTTCCAGTGTGCCTCCTAATTCCTATTGTCTTTTGTAAACCTGTCGATGTTTCCAGTTTTCTACCTCTGAACGTTTTGTGTAGATCTGTCTGAGCTTATTATAACAATTCTATACAATTCGAAAGTAATTTTTGTCCCCTATTTTTTTTGTCGACACAGACAAATCCGATCCTCCCCTTTAACACAGCGCACTCGTGCGGATGTGTGTAGTATCGCTGCAAATCCTCTGTCTCACCGTCAGCGTCTGTAGACTGACCTGCTTTCCTCGAAAACAGGTCATATTTAGTGCATTATAATGTCTAATTTTTAGACCCAGAGTTACGGGAAATCGGAACGTCGGATGGTAACCAAAAATACTAAGCTGAAACCAAGAAGCGTCAATGCAGAGAAAGAGGGTGAGCTTTAAAAAAAATCACGTTAGCAGCTAACGTGTTAGCTTCTCTGAGCTCATGCATAATTTTACTCTGGTAAGAATGTACGACTTGTCTGACAAAAGTCTGTATAAATTCCAGAGGGGAAACAACACTATGATCAAATCAGTCACTTAATTGTCTTCGTATGAATGTTTTTCCTAATTAACTTGTATATGTACAGATATTGGTGTACTTTTAATAGAAATGCTATCTAGCGGTTGCTGACTGTTGTGATTAGCTGACAGTTGCTTATCAACTTTTGCTTATTCATGCACTAAATTCCTCAAAATGTTTGTACGTTGTGTTTGGAGTTTACTAGGTGTTAGTGTTGCTGGACTTGTTGCTGGTGTTTAAATGTCACCGCAGCTCATGTAAATTGGTTGGTTTAATTAAAGCAAAAAAAAAAAAAATTAACAAAGGGCATGTTTTCCTTATAGTTAACTGAATATAACGGCACTATTTAAGATGTGTTGGTTAACTTCAGGTTTAGCCTTATACTGAATCGAGTAGAAAGATTTTTTAGTACAGATAAGAATTTGCAGCCATAACCAGACCTGGGAGCACGAAAATGTTCAGTTTAAATCTGACCAAGAAAAACAAACTGAACCTGGTTTCTGTTTGTGCAGCAGTAATGGTATTATTAAAGACAATAACTACTGCAATTACTCACTACTTCTGTTGATGCTTAGAGTGTAATTGGTCTCAAAATACTAGGCTTTGCCTTCCAAAGCAACAGACAAAGGACAAAGGGGGTAAAGAACAGGGTGGAGGGGGTGGAGGCAGATGTCAGGGGTGATGTGTGACGGTCAGACAAAAGTAAGAGGGAATTCTTACCACATGGTAGTTGAGCAGCTTGTATGTTATGGAGATATTCCCATGGTCCTATGGAGCCTTGTTTACCTTAGGTAATAATAATTGTTGTACTTTTAGCCACCATGACCCAATTTACAATATAATTCATGTCTAAACTCACAACCTAATGGTAGTCCATTTTCTTTGTTTGAACTGTCTTTTAACTTATTCGTGACATTTAATTCATATGAAAAATAATGTACATGAAACATCTTGAACTAAGTTTCAGGTTAGACAGAGCTTTTACTTTAGCTCTTTCAAAAAAACAACAACTTTGGAGCATGTTTTGCAGGCAATTGTTTATACATATTTGAACAATCCTGGAAGTTGACATTAAGTGTAAATGATTTCTAATTTAATCCCACAGATCCATGGCAAAGTGGTTGAAGGACTACCTGAACTTTGGCAGCAGGCGTGACCCTCCGCAGCCCCCGAGGCCAGACTACACAGAGAGTGAGATCTTGAGGGCTTATAGAGCTCAAAAAGAGCTAGATTTTGAGGACCCCTACCAGCATTCTGAGAAAGTGCTACAGAATGGAGGTTTCAGCTCCTGCAACACCCCAATGAGCCTTCCCCCTTTAACTGCATTCGGATCAGTGCTGTCAAATGGTGTGGAGGTATGAGCTGCTTAGGTGTGGACATGTTTTCTTATACAGTACCTTATTCCAGAATTGGATGTTTGGGTCATCAACTAATAGACACATGATAAAGTCCAAATGATAGTCATTAAGTCCATTTTTTCTGTTTTTAAAAGTTTTCTTTTTGGTTGTTATATGTTACAGGTCAAAGTGGTATCCCCCAAACACAGACTTATTAAAGTAGACTCTCAAGAGTTTGGTCGCTGTAAAATCCCCCTGAGTCCAGTAACTGTTCAAGAAGAACCAGTATGTGTTGTTTCTATCATTTTGGTTTTTTTCTTTTTCCTATTCTCCATTTATTTCTTTCGTAGCCAATTCCCTGAAACTCTTAGATGAACAGTGTTGTTTAATATTTGTCAGAAACCTTATTCCTCTCCATTTCTAGGTGGTTCCCTCGGCCCCAGCAGTATCAGACGCCGACACAGATTACTCTGACCCATTTGACGCTCATCCAAACTCCAGAGTCAGACAAAACTGGGTGTCCAAACCTGCCCCAGCAGACTCCTGTAGTTATATGGAACCATTTGAGGCTCAAAGGATCATATCAGGTTAATAATCCTAAAATGTCTTTTGAAGCACACTATTGATGATCCGTTTGGTTTTTCTTTGGGCCTAAGCAGTAAGACATTTTTTTGTAGAACTGCAGCACAGCATGATGAATAACAGGTCTGTGAGTGGGGATGCTGGTCAGTTATATGACAACCCATATGAGGAAAAGACTCACCATCACCGTGCTGCTCTGTCACCACAACACCAAGGCCAGAAGGTGGAAGGTGGATTTGGCCTGATTGACACCAGAGAGAGCAAACTCCCTCAGGATGACGAGAGGCCAGCCGATGAATATGACCAGCCCTGGGAGTGGAAAAAGGACAACATCTCTAAAGCGCTAGCAGGTTACTTGACGTTGATGCATTTCTTACTGTTGTTTTTTCTGTGTGTTACTTTTCTAAAACAACTCTCTGTGTCTACGCTTCTGGCCATAGTTCAGTTTGAAGGTGCAGAAAGGGAACGCTCACGAGCTCATCCAGACCAAACTAGGCTCACCAAGTCAGGTGCCACACCCACCAAAGTGGACTCTACGATCCGTTTGATTGGTGACACTCCTCCTCTTCTGGGAGAAAGGGTGGATCCGGCTTTGCCTCTTGAGAGACAAGTGTAAGTGTTCATGTCGTTTCATCACTCGCTGAAAATCAAAGTGCTCACTATAAGACCAATAAAATCTTGTATGTGTGATAAAAGAAAAAAAAAAGTTTAGTTTGCCATTTGCCTCACCTGCAGATGGTACCATGGAGCTCTGAGTCGCACAGAGGCAGAGAATCTGTTGACCCTGTGCAAAGAGAGTTCCTACCTGGTGAGGAAGAGTCAGACCAGCCAGAACGACTACTCACTCTCACTCAGGTAAACTGTTTCCACAGTCACATAATGGTTCACTTAAACATTTTTTGAGTTGGTTTCATCAGTTCAATAACTTATTTTCTGTTTGGATGTCTATTTTGTGATTTTTTTTTTTTAAACCTAGTTTAACAGATTGACAGTCAGAACCTAAGCAAGCTTGTCTAAATGCACACTTTCCTCCTTCTTACCGCGTTTCCTTTTCCCCCCAGGAGCTGCAAAGGCTTCATGCACATGAAATTCACTCTTTTTCCAGATGGGCGTTTTGTGCTTGGGGAGAACAGCCCTCCATTCTTCACCATCCCAGAGGTCATCCACTACTACACTACACACAAGCTGCCAATCAGAGGGGCCGAACACATGTCCCTGCTGTACCCCGTCATAGTGCAGACTCTCTAACAGAAATGAGACACACTTTCTCTGGGTGCTAATGAACACTACATGCAGCATACACACCATCTCAACCCTTCTGTCTTTTTTCATACACGCCTTTTAAATGCCATTGTACCTCCAGCATTCACAAGAGAATCAGCTGTTTGGTGGCTTCTCCTGATTTTCCTGGTAATTACACTGAAACTCTGTCATTTATGCTGTATTTCGCTCTCACAAACTTTTAGAAAGCAGCGGTTTCTGTTTTATTGGTAACCTAGCTGAGGTTTGCAAATGGAGTTTGTGCCAATAACTCGTCAATTATTCTTTCCAAAAATATGTTTAAAATAGAAATCAAATGCAAAGTGGATATTAATAGGTAGAAAATGCAGTAAAATGTGTTGTAACTAATAAAACATATCTATTTAAAATGTAAGTAACAACACCTGTCAGTCAACCAGTATAAACACTAAATATTTGTGTGACTGTGAGTTGTGCATCAGGTTGAAGAATTAGACAGCTGTGCTATAATGACAGGAGAGGAGTATCTGACTTGTTACCTTCACATTACACAGTATCACACAACTGCAGCACTAGTTTAAAATGTAAGAAGTATTATACTGAAAGCTTGTGGCTTTGTGGTCCTGTTTATTAAAGCAGCCTTTGTAGAATATTTCCTGTGCTGTTTTATAAGATTTAAGATGTCCAGTATAAATAAATCTGTCTGTTTTTAAATTAAGTGGATTTTTTTTCTGGCTGAGAAGGTTAATGTTGGGTGTGTCGTTTTCATTGCAAGAAGATACGTTTGTTTTGTTTGTTAAAAGCTAAAATAACATTGTCTTTCAATTTAACATTTGTTTTTTTATTTTTTTCTGAAACATATTTAAAACAACATAGTAGATGTTGTACAATATCACTAATATCAGGTTTGTATGTAAAAAAAATCTTGCATGGTCAAATCTATAATTCCATTGCATTGCATGTCACTGTTATTCTATTTTTCTGCATTCACACTGATGATGATCTTTCCTGTGTTCTTATTGGCCTCCATGTGTCTGTGAGCATCTGCAATGTTCTCCAGGCTGAATGTGCTGTCAATCACAGGCCTCAGTGGAGCAGCCTGGCCTGAGAAATGTGGCAACACTTGGCGAGAGAAGGATTCGACCAGGTCTGCTTTGTACTGGAAAAGAAATATGCCAAAAACTTCTAGAATATGACGTTAACATTTTTGCATCATTACCTTATCAGTATTTCTTACCTGAAGGCTGCGGGAACGAAGCAAACTGCAGAGCAAGTGTCCTCTCTTGGAGAGAAGTTTACCAAATAGCTCCCCCTCTACCCTTCTGCCACCCATGGTGCCGTATAGCACCCATCTGCCATCAGTGGCTAAGCAGCTGACATTTTGCTCCCAGGTTTTTCCACCAATGCAGTCAAGAATGACATTTGCTCCTTTACCTGTAATAAAACATGGACACGCAGATTCCAACAAATTCAACCCGTATTGATGCCAATAATAATAATACCAATGAACAACAGGAGCACTGTGTCTGTGCAGCTTCACTTTGTACCTCCTGTGTAGTCCTGGACTCCCTGTGCAAAGTTTTCCTCTTTGTAGTTGAATCCAGTTGCTGCTCCCAGTTCCTCAACCATCTTTAACTTTTCAGTATTTCCTGCTGTAGCAATCGGCACTGCACCAAACAGTCGCACCAACTGAACTGCAGCTGTTCCCACTCCACCGGCAGCACCATGTACCAGAACCACCTCACCATCCTTTACATGAGCTGTGTTGAAATAGAGAGAGATATAAAAATGTAAAATGACTCATCCATTTCCCCCAATTCTTCCTGGTGACGGAAAGAGTTTGGTACCTATGAGGGCCAGCAGCTGGTAGGCAGTGAGCCAGGCCTCTGGAACTGCGGCCGCCTGACCCAGCGTGAGATCTGAAGGAACTGGCATGAGGAGTTCCTCAGGAACAGCCACATATTCAGCATATCCTCCTCCTGCGAGCAAAGCCATGACTCTGTCGTCAGGCCTCCAGCCTTTCTTTACCCCCGGGCCTAAAGAGTCCACAGTTCCTGCCACCTCCAGACCAATGGTTTCACTCTCACCTGGAGGAGGAGGGTACAGTCCTCGCCTCTGTGCCCACAGATGAACATTAGAAAACATACAGTAAGAGCTCAGATATGCTTTAATATTTGACTAAATCCTGAATTGAAAGTGATCAATAATACCCATCGATTGAGTACCTGTAGCAGATCAGCCCTATTCAGGGCAGTTGCATGAACTTTAATTAGAATTTCTCCATCCCTAGGTTGAGGTCTCGGGATGTTCCGGAGCAGCAGATTCTCTGGTCCTCCTGGTACGTCCACACACACCGCACGCATCATCTTGGTAAAGCTTGAATAGCACTTGTGCCTGTTCTATTATAGGAGACACAATCACATAATTAACAATGTTGTAACTGGTGTGTAACAATGAATGGTTAAGTAACTAAAGATCTAATCTTGATATTAAATTTAAATTGTTCAGACACTTACTGTTACATAGGTACGTTTCAATAAAAAATGTCCAGATTGCAAGATGAGACGCATTTGATATACAGCAGAATAAACTGAAAAACAGAATTCAGATTAGCCAAACATATCACATAAGTACTTCAAAATTAGCAAAACAAAACTCTCATAAATTGCTGAAAGTAAGCAGAATGTCTAGCTAAAATAAGGCTTTTTTAATGGCAAAAGGTTACCAAATGAATATTGAAAAGTTGATAAAGGTTTGTCCAAAATGCAGCAAAAAAGGTTAGCCAAAAATAATGCAGAAAGAAATGTTGTAACAATATTACAAAAAAATAAACTTTTGCCAATAAAAGTGAATAGAAATTTAAAAAATATATAGTTTTTGTTTAATTTATATTTTTTCATTGTAGTGTGATTTATATTCATAGTACTATAGTATTATATATAGTTTAGTTATAGAATATAGTTTTTGTTTAATTTATATTTGTTTAATTTATGTTTATATTTGGTGGCGCTTTGGCCCAGAGGCAATGTCTCTGTCATTGGTGTGGAACCCCAGGGTTCACCTCCTGGACAAGTTCGAATCCCGGTTAGGGCAGTTAATACCTTCCAGTGGACTCACCACCCGCAGGAAGGTTTAGGTACGGTGCAATGTGATTTGGGTGGCGACTGCTGCCCCCGCGACTCGGTAACGGATAAGCGGATGAAAATGGATGGATGGATATTTATATTTGTTTAATTTATATTTTTTTTCATTGTAGTGTGATTTATATTCCCACTGTCCGTTAGCTTATTTTAATGTTGTATCTTTGTGTATTTTAAATCCGATTTAAGGCCACGAATAACAAAACTCTGAAGCAGAAGTAAATAAAAATAACAAAATAGTAATCAGTTTTGGTGTTAAACCACAGAGAAGAACCCAAGTTACACAACAGCTACCGGTTACATAACGCGCATGCGCAAGAGTGCAGAGAATTCAGCTAGTTCAAAATGATTCAGAACCGAATTCAGTCTATTTTGACCAAATCTAACTCCAGAATATAAAAAACATACTGCGGCTACAACAGTGGAGTTGTTTTTAGTCATGTGAAGGCTGTAGACCTCACTGGGTTAACAATGATTATTCTTTAAGTTATGATCAAATCGTAAATCAAGACATCTCACCTGTAGATGGATGTTAACACTCCTTCAGCTGTACAACTATTGCAGTAGATTTAAGGAAGTTTGTGTGTACCATGTTGCACCCCAGCAACTCTATTCAATAGAGGAGGGGCTAAAAAAATAGATCATGTGACGTGTTAAAGGGATAGTGCACAAAAAACACCAGGTTGGTCTGTTAGTATTGTCCAACGTTTTGAAAATTAGCAAAAATATTTTGGCTCACTTAAGACTTAAATTTATTCTACCCATTTCCATTACTTGGGTGAAATAAATCAAACTATTAAGTCAAAATAATAAGGTATCTTATAATAATAACGCACTAACTCAAAATAATGAGAATTAAATTTTATTTTTTAAATTTTTATATTAAAACTCAAAATCAAAAAATGATATAAACTAGCATATCTCGAACAAAGCAAACTTAAGGCCATTTTAACTGTTCTTACTAACTTGTAGCAATAATTATGGCTAACTGATTTTGGCTTTTGGGGCACTGGTGACTTGGTAGTTAAGGAAGCGGACTTGGGTCCGGAAGGTTTCAGGCTCGAGTCCACCATCTGCCAAGTTGCCACTGAGGTGTTCTGAGCATTCACAGACTCTGCTAGTAAACACTGATCCACTTCTTTGCTAATGAAAATGAGAGGTATTACAAATATTTAAGTGGTTTCCCACCCATAACATACAGTATTTACTTAAATCTTCAAAATGACAAATGTAATGAAAATTCTGCACTTTGTTCAGGTCAAGTATTTATCTTTTGTGCAAACATGTTTAACATGCAAAACAACATTTTTTCACTTTTTTTCTTTCATGAAATCTAACCTCTCAACACAACTGTTGTACTGATGAACCATCCCTTTTACCTATTTAGAATACAATGGCACTATTATGTTACTGCACACATGCTGAGACAGCCATGGCAGCAAACAGCTCTGCCCAAAATCTCTGAGTGGAATGTTGTGCACCAAATAGGTAAGAGAACATTTTGATTTGTATTTTAAAGATTTTTGTGCAACTGAGAAAAAAAGATAGATTTTTTTTCTTTCTTCTTAAGGTGTAACTGAGAAAAAAAGATTTTTTTTCTTTCTTCTTAAGGTGTTAAAAGTGAATGGATCAAATCAGTGCAAGCGCTGTTGTCCACAGAGACCTGAGAGTTCTGAACCAGAGAGCAGAGAGAGATCTAAAAAATAAACTCATCATGCTGGATAGACAATACAGGATAACTGTCAAAATACTCCTACAGAGAAGAGATTCACTGAAACATGACCAAAACAGGGTGGTGATGGTAAAAGTCTGTGAGCCTAAGGCTATTGTCAACATCGCTATAAAAGAAATTGTTGAACACGGGATACAAATTAGAAGAGACGACTGGAGACATTGTTCTGGTAAAGTCCAGCCTCGTCTTTCTGAAGGATCTGAATTCGGGGGGCAAATTTGTTCAGTTTCAGCTCCACAGTCAACGGACAAACCTACAGGCCCCCTGAGATACAGGGGCAACATTCAGAGGCAGGTGTCACTCATGCAGATGAAAAATATCGCCACAATCGACTCCATATCAGAAAAAGAGCTGGCCAGACAGCAGCAGAGGGTCAGAGAGGAAATGGAAAGTGTGAAAAAGCTGCAGAGGGAAATGTTACAAAACAGGGTGGAGGCTTTTATACAGAGTCTCAGGGACAAAAGTGGCATAGAAATACTGGAAACTTCTGAGAGGAAATGAAAATAACTGCATCCTTTACACAACATTTACAAGAAAAATGTTTATTATGAACAATGTGATAAAAATTATAAAAAGATTATACTTTGTCTCTTTATTTGAGAATAGATTAAATAATATCCCCCACATTCCTCAAGATCATTAGAGCTTTGTGCACTGGTGTTTCCATCAGCAGGCTGCAGTGTTCCTTCCACTCTGGAGAGTTGGGAAGATCACTATCTACAAAAACAGGTAAAATGTACAAGAAAAATGTTTATGCTCCAATACGGGATTACTTTCATTTTTGCTAAACCAGAAAATGTAATTATTTTGTTCAACATTCACTCACACATTCATGATAGTCTGGCCTGATTTAACTTCCCTACCTTCACACTCAAAGAGGACTCTGGTAGGAAGACTCTTGGTATGGTCAGAGTAGTCCAATGTGCAGAGGACAGGAGTCCTCTTTGTGGATGCAGTAAACATCAACACCAGTAATGTACACAATGTGTTGCTCTCCATCACTTCTACAGACTTGAACTGCTCCTGTAAATGAGGTATAAAATTGTAGTCAGTGAAAGTTGTTTTGTAGTTCATAATAAACACATTTACCTAAAACTGGTATTTTAAGTAAATGCAAAAAAGGTAGGTTTTTGACAAACTATTGAAGTCAAAGCAGTATAAACATAAGATAACTAACCTAAAACACGTCTTGAAGGCTATAGGTTATACCAAGATACAAAATAGGCTAAAAGTGGCCAATATAGCCAAAAAGGAAGTTAAGGAAATTGCTTAAGATGTACCAAAATGCAATAAAACCCCACAAAAATGTGCTAAAAGTTAGATTGTTTGAACGTATAATGCAGTGTACAAAATTTACATTAGGACATAGTTCCTCAAAGTGGAGAACACCTCCGCCACTTAAGAGAATACTTTTGAATTGTGCCAATGTTAAAGTTAATTAATTTGTAATTAAAAAAAAAATCAAAGGGAATATACAGTTTTGGAATGGGGGGGGGGTCATATTAATGGGGTGGGGGTAATAATCCTGAAAAAAAAAAAGAAAAACCTGACTAATTGCCATACTCCAGACACTAGATATCAGTACTAAGGTCAGGTGTTAAACTTTTTCAGAATTTACCTTAACAAGCTTCAGCTGCTGCTTACGTCCAGCATATGCGTTGAGGTGCAGACTGAGGAGTTCAAGAAAAGCTTTAACGTCTGTCTGTATGTTACTCTGCTCTGCCAGGCTGTTCAGAGGAATGAACGGGGGGATGTTGTGATGACTGATCCTTAGCACAGACCTGAGGTCTATTTCCAGGTTGTAGGTATCCAAGTAGAAGCCCTCATAGGCTGTTGCCAAGGAGACACATACTGCTTTATCATTGTTTGTCTTGATGATGTTGTAGCCGCCTAGTGACATGATTAAATAAATATAGAATTTAAAAAAATTAAACAAAAAGAAACAAAAATACAGTCAAAAGGGCACGGAATGTGTTTTCTGTATTATCTTCTAGTTGCTAACAAAATAATAACGCACAGTACCCAGGAGGTGATGGGCGTAGATAAGATCTTTTATATGTGAATGTTTGGCCATAAGCTTCAGTAATTCTGTGTCTGCAAACTCTTCCTCCATTTCCTCCACTTCTTTGTCTATACTTTGTTTATCCACGGATAGCCTCAGTTTCTGAAGAGTCTATTGTACGAAAACAGAAACAAGGCAGAATTAAAAAGGCATGTTAAAAGAAACTGTCAAATCTAGTCAGTCACTGTACTTGTTGAACAGTGGTGCATTTCGAAAAGTACTAATTAGTTACTTCATAATTTCTTATCTTATCTCACAGTTTTGACCTAAAACAAGTAGAATTATTGCAATGCCTATGACTGCACGGTAGCATCTCGAATGTAACCTTGTGTGTCTGTATCTCTGCCTTCAGTTGTTCTCTCTTTATCTTCAGCGCGGCGACTTCAGCCTTCAGCTCCTTCACACGGCTCGATTGCTGGGGACGTATCAAGCGGTTCCTTGCCTGAACTTCCAGTAAACCAAAATGACTGAAAACGCCTGCGAATAGAATAGAACATAACACACAACAACAAATCGATACATAAGCTTTACCGTGGATAGGAGGGGGAAAGAGAGGCTAATCCGACGGTAGCTTTAGCTCGCCAAAAATGTATCAGGCAAACGTTTCCTTTAATTAAACACATGTACTGTAAACGTTACCTTTCGAAAGCACTGTATCCATGTTCAGTTTTCTAATTGTTTTGTTTAGTGTGCAAATGCAAACAGCAATATCCGGGTTTTTGATTTTGGCGGCTGTACGTCCTCATTTAAGATGCATTTAGGTGAATTCAAAATATATAGAAAGTAACTAATCATCTGTTTAAAGCGAATAAACCACAGTAGTTATTAAAAACTTCACTTTAAGAAGTAATGATCACTTATTCAATCTCAATACGTAATAGTAAAATATAATTTTGTATTAATCTTATGCAAATGAAACATACAACGACACAGACTTGTAAAGAACAACGTTCTAAAGCTAGAATTCCAATTATCCTGGTAGTACATGAACGCTTCGTTTTAAAAACCACACCTCCAAGTTTAACACCATCCCGGAAGTATTTTCAAAAAACGTTGGTATAATGTGGAAAGACTTAGCGATCCCCGGTTTAGCGTTAGCGTTTCATTTGTGGAACAGCGCAGCACATTAAATACAGCATGTGATTTATTTATCAGTGATTAACAAAATACGCGTGTTAATACATATAAAAACAACAGAAAAACGTTTATTTAAGGAATGTTTGACAGTTGGACGTTGTTACGAAAACATGGTGCCAATAACCCGAGGCGCAACGATATAAAGGTGAGTCCGTGTAATTTCTAAGTTTCAACAAGTTTCACGTGTGATTTTTCTTACGACCTCATTTACTTAAAACGTTGTTGACTTGGGCTGCATTTTACAAAATAAAAGCTTAGTTAATTAAAAGGTTAGTTAATTAGTAGTTTAGTTGATTTGTTTTTTTCTGCGAGCATGCGGATCAAATCAGTCTCGTTAGTGAGACTGCAGATTACAATCACTGTTGAGGCTCTGTCTAGGAATTACGAATTCCAAATCGGTTGATAATAGAAATACTTGATGATGTTTTGATAGGTTATATGTCAATGTTTAAGTGATTAACAGTCGGTTAATATTCTTGATAAAAACAAAAACAGTCGGCAGTGGAAGAGTAACTCGAAACTTCACCTTTAAAACAAAGCAGCACACACTATTTCTGGATCGGAGACTGGGTGAAAGTTGACCCGTGGATTGTTTTGACCTTGTCTCAGACTGGAGGTTGTCTCGAATAAACAATGCTTTCCTGTTGCAAACTGGTTAGGGTAGCATTAGGCAAATGGTTTCCCTTTTTTTTTTCTTTTTTTTTTTTTCAAACATAGATGATATACATGAACTGGATAGAGCTATGCCGATGTAAATATATTCCATAGATGTTAATTCCCCCTTGATGTGTAACATTAGAAATTATTTTTCTAATAATTACATGCTTTCATTTGCCAGACCCACATCTTCTATGCATGGTACAGTTTCATTACATAATAAATAATTAATTACATAATGAATAAACAGAGAGAGAGAAAAAAATGATGATGGTAAGAAGACCTATAATTATTGACCATGGGGGTTTTTTTTAGATTCAGTTTTTAAAACAGTATCTCGGGTTTTTCTTTTCTTTATTGCTCATAAGCATAAGCAGCGTGTTAAAAAGAGCAGTCGTGAAGGTAACACAGTGCCGAGACTCGCTTTATCACATCATAGATACTCATCCTGTTTGGTCTCTGTCTTCAAGGTTGTGACACCGTCCTGACTCATGGGTGTGGACGGAGACTTTTCCCATCTATCAAACTGTGCGACAGTAGGCGGAAGAACTCTTCCCCGACTGCACCCACAAGACGATAACCATGGACCTGTCCGTTCAGAAACACTTCACGGTTGTTGACTATGTGGTATTTGCCATCCTACTTGCCGTCTCCATGGGCATAGGCTTATACTATGCCCTGTCAGGTGGACGTCAGCGCACCACGCAGGAGTTCCTGATGGCAGACAGAAGCATGGGCTGTCTCCCCGTTTCCCTTTCACTCATCGCCTCCTTCCAGTCGGCTGTAGCTATCATTGGTGTACCAGCAGAGATCTACACCTACGGTACTCAGTACTGGTTCATCGGCTTTGCCTACATCCTGGGACTTATCATTCCAGCCCATGTTTTCATTCCAGTGTTCTACAGACTCCGGCTCTCTAGTGCATATGAGGTTAAATTTTCTTTAGGTTTTAATATAATTAATTCAATGTTTTATTTTGTGGTATCTAAGTTGCTTATAAATTTGATGTTTTTTTTTGTTTTGTTTTCTTTAAATCAGTATCTTGAACTGCGCTTTAACAAAGTGGTGCGCATCTGTGGAACACTGACCTTCATATGTCAAATGGTGAGTGCAACACCTTTCAACTTGCACTTGCTTTTTCTCCTCTGAATACTTTACTCCTCAGATAAGAGTCCCTTTTCCATATGTGGTCTTGACATATCTGAAGTTTTTCATAGTCACCTCTGTCTGAACGTTCATTTACCATTTAATTTGACTTTTGAACAACTTTGTCTGTACTGCACTGTACAAGTATATTTTTGTGTACTTTTTGTACTTGTCTAATCGACTTTATTGTTGAAACTGCAGGTTATTTATATGGGTGTCTGTGTGTATGTTCCTGCCTTTGCACTAAATGCAGGTAAGAAAAATGTAGAACCTTTTTTCTGGGTAACTGACTTTCTCAATATGTTTGTATGTATGTATGTATCTGTTTATCAAGTACTGTGTTTATTATTTATGCAGTTACTGGACTAGAACTATGGGGTACAGTGTTGGCAACTGGACTGGTCTGCACACTGTACACAGCATTGGTGAGTTACTGAATCCTTTATACACTGAACATTTAATGTGTGCATGGATTTTTCTGTTAGGACTCTTAGCCTTCCTGCATATTCAGATCCCTGCCACACTTTTAGATCAATTTTCTCTACGGTTAAAGGTTGATTTAATATCACAAAAAATGAAAATTCTGTGTGAAATTAATAGAAATTAATCATTTTTATATATTTAAACTTATTTTAATTTTGTATTTATTTATCAATTTATTTAGTGCTCATGTGTTAACTAAAGAGTAACTACACAGCATGAAGTTTTTTTTATTTCGACCCAGTTTGATTGCCCTGGGTCTGTCGTGTTTGTTCCAACAGGGAGGTTTAAAGGCTGTCATCTGGACTGATGTGGTTCAGACAATAGTGATGTTTGCGGGACAGCTGGCTGTCATCGTGGTGGGGGTTCAGAAGGCTGGAGGAGTCTCGGATGTTTGGACAAAGGTCTGGGAGGGAAACCGAATCTCGAGTTTTGAGTAAGTAAAAAAAAACAATTAAAAAATAAGAAAAGTTAAGCCAAATACAATAACACTTTGTTAATTTTTTGTCCACAGATTTCCAAAGAAATTACACAGACGAAAGACAATTTGTTACAATTGTCTAATTATTTTAAATGTAAATGAAGTTGTTGTGGTTTTTTTAAGTTGTGGTAAAGACAGCACACAAACATGACTGAAAGCATTGTGAGCACAGTGAGTTTATGGGTTCTGTGTTAGTGTGTGAGTGGATTTGTAAAATAAAAATAAATACATTTGTACTATATTGATCCCATATTTGGGAAAATGTTGTGTTAGCAGCAGACATGCTGTTAACAGGCTGCCCTTAGGAATCAAACCCAGGACTCTCTGCTTTCTGCTTCAGAGGCAGGAGTGCTAACCGCTACGCTATGGAACCAACAGGGGTCAGTGTTGGCCTGGGGGTTAGAAAGCGGACTTGGTTCTGGAAGGTCACGGGTTCAAATATTACATTTTAAAGAAGTATATATGGCCGTTGTGTGTATCACATTTAAAAGTCTGTTCTTAAGATTCTTACGGTCTGTTTTTTTGTCTGTTTTAGTATAAACCCAGATCCTACAGAGAGACACACTTTCTGGACTCTGGGTGTGGGCGGCGTTTTCCTCATGTTGTCTTTGTACGGAGTGAACCAGACTCAGGTGCAGCGGTATCTCAGCGCCCGCACAGAAAAGGAGGCCGTAAGGTACACAGCCTATTTTTGATGCTCCCTATAGACAATGCTACAAAATATGTAAAGGAACATTAACTTTTATTCCATAGTGTCACGGTTAGCACGCTTGCCCAGAGCAGAGCGTCCTTGGTTTGATTCCCAGATGAACCACATATCCCTAATAGGGTTCATTTTTCTTTTTGTTTTCTTTTTTTTTCTTTTCTTATCTTTCCTCCAATTTTTTGATTTTTTTTCTTATCTTTCCTCCAATTTTTTGAGGACCCCTTAGGGCCTCCTGGTGACCCCACTTTGAATACCACTCACCTAAACCATGGTAATCAGCTCAAAGTATTGATTTACTTCAATTCCTGGCATTAACATTTACTTTTTGTGGCATCATCTGTTGATGTATGATCTAACGCCACATTAATGCTTTCATTTAAGCAATGAGGAGACAGAGTGTCATTCATATTTCGATGTTCTTGTCTCTCTTGCAGGTCTTGTTACATGGTCTTTCCCTCCCTTCAGTTGGCTCTGGCTCTCAGCTGTGTGATGGGTCTGGTCATGTTTGCATGTTACTGTGGGGTAGATCACTCTGACAAACTGAGCACCTCCTCCAGGGATGCTGTAGGTGTCAGTATTTTATTTTCTCTCTCTCTATTCAGCTTTTTCACTCGTGAGGAATTTCTTTGGACCCAGTTGCCTGTTGACTTCCATTTACCTGTTTTCACTTTATTTGGTCTGACCAGCTGCCCCCGATCAAAAAATGGGCATCAGTACATGTTTGCTAGTGTAGAAGTATAGTGTCTTCTTCTGTGGTGTTTTTTATTTCCTGTTCACCATACTGAGCAGCGACTGCATCATTTTTGATGTGGAATCTGGTGCAGTTATAATAAGCTTGTTGACTCACTGTTTTTATGTTTTTCAGTGCCTGTAGTGTTTTAGACATGTTTGATAAATATATTAATATCCTGGCTGACGGCTCCAGGCAAGTGTGTTGATGATGATGATGATGATGATGATGATGATGGTGGTGATGGTGGTGACGTGTCTGTGTTCCACAGATGGTGATTTATTTTGTGATGGATATGCTTCACGGTCTACCTGGACTTCCTGGACTCTTTGTTGCGTGTTTGTTTAGTGCAGCCCTTAGGTAAGTCACCAGCAATGTGTAAAAGACTGCAACATTATCATTTATTGATGTGTTATTCTGTATAAACTACTAGTTCATCTTCTTAGATTTTTTTTTAATTACAAAAAAACCCCAGAAGATAAATTAGAATGGTTGTGTGTTATGTTTTATCATTCTGCTCTTCTTTTCTTGTGCAGCACCATCTCATCTGCTTTTAACTCTTTGGCCACTGTAACGATGGAGGATCTCATCAAACCACATTTCCCAGCAATGACGCAGCGCAAAGCCATTCTGCTGTCCAAAGGATTGGGTAGGATTAGCTTTCAAATGTCACTGCTATTGTTGCAACGGCACTAGTATTAACCCAGATCAGATGACAGTGCAAAAAAGAATACACAGAGACTGACAATTATCACAATTCAATCTATTTTATGAACATAACGGGTCATTTAATTATTTAAAACAAGTAACTTACATTTATGAAACATGAAAAACAATATTTTAGTTTAGCAGGCAAACAATTTCCTCTACATAATCAAGAAAACTGATTCCATATTTTACATACATAGACATAGTAATTAAAAATTTAAAAGTCTACTAGGGAATGGTATGAAAACTGATTGTTGTTATTTCAAATGCCTGATCTGTTTAAAAAAATATTGTATGATATTAATTTGTATAACAGCTTTGCTCCTGAACTTTTATATTCTCATAAAGCCTTGTTTTATGGTCTGCTGTGTCTGGCCATGGCCTATCTCACTCACCTGATGGGTGACTCAGTTTTACTGGTAAGTTTACACCCAGTTGTTACAAAATAAGTTGTTTGGGGTTTTTTTTATCTCCACATTTATGCTGGTTGACTCACTGTTTCAACTTAAGGTGGCTTTAAAAATCTTTGGGATGATTGGAGGTCCCATCCTTGGACTGTTTTCTCTTGGAATGTTCTTCCCATCTGCCAACTCGATTGTAAGCCCAACATCATTTGTATCAGGTTCTGTTGTCTTTTGCTGTGCTGCTACTTCTTCTGATTATAACTGAGTAATCCCAGTTTGCTGCGTGATTTGTTTTCAGGGAGCAGTGGCAGGTCTGGGTGCTGGTGTTTCTATGGCCTTCTGGGTCGGCATCGGGGCCATCCTTACTCGTACGTCTGGCTCCAAAACACAGACCCTAGACTGCAAAGTCACTCAGTCCAATGATACGGCTGCAGCTTTTCAGATTGCACTCAGTAATATCACACTGAGGTATGAAATGAATGGTCAAAGTTTAGCAAATGTTCTGGGGAAAAAAAGATTGGCTGATCCAGAACAGTGTTTGGCATTTTTATCATTGTGAATTAACAAGTTCATCTTTTGTGTCTGTTCTACAGCCGACCCTCTGGGTTAAAGCGATTGTATTCACTGTCGTACATGTGGTACAGTGCCTTCAACTGCATTGTAGTCATTGTAGTTGGACTTCTCATCAGTTTTCTCACAGGTGTGGCGACTTCTCCGTTTTAAAACCTTTTATTTGAAAGCTACTGTTTGTTTGAATTTAATTCTAACTGTTGTCTATTTAGGGCCAATGAAAAAAGAAGATGTGACACCGGGCACAATTTATCCGTTACTGCAGAAAATTTTCTGGTTTCTGCCAGAACACTTGAAAAAGAAACTGTCCTGTGTGACTCCGCTGGAACAAACAGTAAGTCACATTTCAGAAGGAAGAACATGTTCTGCAAACCTTTTTTTTTCTCTTGGTAATGTCAAAACAGGAAAAAGAAAGTTAAAATTAAATCAATTAATTACTTGAAAAGAACAGTTAAAAAGAAAGCTAAAATTATCTTGACAATAGACAAATGTTATATAACAAAACCACTTTGAAGTAATCCCTCTATTATTTATTATTATTATTATAAGAGGCAAAGCTTTACATAAAGTTAACTCTTGTCTGCTGACAGACCAGAATTACCAGTAAATAAGTCTACCATGATCTGTCTTCTACAAAACCTGATGGACGTTAACTAACTGAAGGTGGACTACAGACAGAGTGTTTCTATTACAGACAGGACTCTGTGATTCGTGTCCGATGAATGTGTCAGTACAACAAATTATGTTGCATTTTGTTCTTAAGTCTTAAAAACGGTCAAATTAACTGCTTGGTCCTCGCCCTTCCAGCCCGCTGTACAACAGAGACAACTGCTGTGCCAAAAAAGCAACAGGTCGGCCCAACAAGACAGACCGATTCAGGAAGAGACGGAGACTTTTCTTCCTGATGCTCACATGACTCATGTGGAACATGAAACGTGCGTGTGAGGCCTCCTACTGTACTGGAACAGAATTAAAACACCTGAAGACAAACACTGGAAACCTGGTTCTAGCTGTTAATCCAACTCAACACACATTCTTATTGTTATGTGGTTGAGCTGTTACTGACACTGTACTATAACATAGTGGTGAAGTGTGTTATAGAACTGCACTTACTGATATATATTGTTGTACAGCACTACTGACGCTGTGTGGATGGGACCAGTGTCATGAACTTGTCATATAAAAGGATTTAGTAGAAGTGAAGTTTCTCAGTCATAAGAGAAGAAAGGACATTTTTAATACAAGAATAAATGTTTTGTATCAAATGTTGTTTGTTGTTTTTTGTTTCTCTCTTCTTCTTTTTGCAGATATAAATGAAAACCCTATCTGGGTTCAGTGGCAAGGCTTTACCTGCAGTCTACAAAAAGTTGCGAGAAAAAAATTGACATTTAAAAGGTAAAACAAAGTAACATTTTGTTGGTGTCCTTGGTTAGAATGTTAACTGGCAGCAGCACTACACACTTTATGCTGTACTCCAACAAATGAGTGATCTGCTCAGTTAAATCATTTAAATATATTTTGAATACAGTCAGTATGACGTTGTGCGGTGCAGTCAGAAATTTGCATCATAGACGTAACGGTGACATTTTCCAACTTCTGTACTTTATTTACATATAATTTTCAGACTATTGAACCCACCTGAATACAAGCAGCACCCACTACATTTAAAAAGAAAATAATAATATATAGGCTGCACTTCTCTATAGGCCACAGGTGTCCACGTTGTAACATAAAATATTCACACAGAAAGAATTTTTCTCTCACTTTTCATTAAATAAATGCTTTTTTCCCAAACTACCTGTAACACAGCTAATTATCTGAAAAAGTTTATTAAACAAAAACGAAAATATATAACAAAAAAGATCTAAAAGCACCTAAAAAGTAGCCAACAGATAAATATGAGGGTAACATGAAGAAAACCAAAAATTAACTCCAAAAAACAGTTTTACCGTTTGATGAAATTGACTGGTAATTTATTGAAATGCCATTTCATTTATAAAGCATGTTAAAACAAGCAACAGTAAAAAATAGAATAAGAGAATAAAACAATTTAAAAAGCAAATATTTAAAATAAAAATAAATCTCTCTTTATCTGTGGATCAAATCCATTGATTTAACTGTAGATACACACACTTGTCCATATAGATACATTGATATCAAGATAAACATTTATAGTCTACTATGTATGCATATGGATAAAAGATCATATGTGTGTGTGTGTGAGAAGCTCCTGTTTATTTTTGACCTTTATATACTGCATCCTTTTCAGACTAAACTGGATTTGAATTTTACTGCACTTGAATTTGTAACAACACAAACGGCGTATAGTTCAATAGTCAAAGGCCGTCTTCACTCACCTCAATCTGGTGCAAATTCTATGTAAATCTGCTGCCGGTGTTTATTTCCTGCTCCTCTTTTTTCCTGCCACTGTTTTTCAGAACACAGACAGATCTTAAAACACTGACATGCTGCTGTGATACAGGCCAAATAAAAAGGTGAGTTGAATAATCTGTTTCATTCTTTATTTTGTGTAAGATAACAACAATTTTAGTCACATGTTCTTCAAAAAAGAACAAGATTTACATAAAAAAAATAGATTTTATTCTTCTTTATTATTTTCCTAGACTCCTAGTTTATCAGTAAAACCAGATGGGGCGTTCTGTGTAGATCTTTCTTCGTAATATACAGATCTCAAACTATATACACAATATATACATATATATACAAGCATCTCACAATTTGTTTATGTGTATTCAAATGTTTGAATCATTTCCAGGACCAACGTTTGGCTACTGTTTTATCTAACTGCTCAGGCTTTTTCTGTATTACTTGATCAAGCTTCATTTCACCAACATTCAGCCATTTTCATACCAGTTGCTAACAAGTGGCCTTTTCAGAGCTAAAACCATTTACACTGGAGCACCTCTTCACTCACTGTAGTGAGCCCCGTAGTCAAACCTCGATGATTTTCACCATATGCAATCTGACTGAAAATACAATGTAAAGAGGACTGTTTTAACTGCTGCATTTGTTAATGTCCTGAGCTGATAATGTTCATGTTTTTATCATCTTTATTTCCATTTACAGGATGTGGGTCTTCATAATACTTTACATTGCAGGACTCAACAATTGTGTCGTGAGTCACAAACACAGCTATATTTCGTTGCTGCTTAATCATCCATATTGCACAGGTGTTATTTAATGGTTTTTTTTTTTCTCCTGCTTTTTCTTCTTTTTCACAGACTTGTGAAATGTCCAGTGAGGGCACAGAGTCTAATAAATCTTCTGCAGCAAAGTCATATCAAATGTACTACATAAAACTGAATGTAGACAAACATGTGATGGAAAATGTAACAGAGATACTGAAACCATTTAAGAACCACAGCATGAACTTCCAGGTTGACAACCTTCGAATGACAACAGGTGATTTTCCATTCCTGGTTTGATTTAGAGAAATTGACATTATGGGTTGAACCACATTGACTTTCGGCTCCTCCCTGAACAGTGTGTGAGCGTGTCTCTCCTAACAGAGTGTGTAAGTGTGAGCCGGAATACAGATGGAGTGATGACGTCTGTCAGTCCAACCAGTGTTGTAACGACAACTGCACCTTCTCCGAAAAATCCAATCACACTTGTATTTCAAACAAAACAGGTATTAATTTTTATTCTACCTATGTGGAAAAAATCTCTTACTGAAAATTGTGCCTTCCAGTGCGTAGCTATTCGGGCTAGGTTTTATCTATTCTTCTGCTAACTTTTTTTTTTTGTAAATGCTTTATCTTTTGGGTTAATTTTGGCTGTTCATATGGAAAGCATATTGCTAACTTTTAGCCCTTTTATTTTCTTCATAGGTGACATTATGTTAATTATTGTGTCACAATATATACAGTGCAGTATATCAGTTTTAGCCCAACATTTAAGGTTACAGATTTCGGCTGTTCTTTTTCTTTGGTTTTTGTTTTGTTACTTTAGTAACTTTTCCCCTCCAATCCTAGCCCATTTTTACTGTTCTTTTGGCTTATTCTAAGCTATGTTGTGACTGACCCTTTAGCCATGATCTTGACTTTACTCACTTACTTACTTACTTACTTACTTTACTTAACTTTAGCTTTTATTTAGGCATTAATAGAAAACAGTTCACCATCTACCTTTGCTATATTCTTTGTGTGTCTGTTCTCCTGTGAGTTCAATTTTCAACATTTTTCACATCATCATGTTCTTATTTTTCTATATTTATTGATTTTTCTCCTACAGTTACTATCAGTGGATCTGTGACTATCAGAAAATCATATCAGAATTGTTTGAAAGAAGAACACACTGACGAATATAAGAATTGTGCCTTAAATTTGCTAAATCAGCTAAAAAGTGCGTACAGCTCTTTGGCAGGATTTGAAACCCTAAAAATAAACAAATTCAGGTACAATTTATGTGGTAATACCATATAAAACACTCACAAATATACACATATTGAGGTCTTGCTTTTAACATGTGACCATATTCTTTCTGTTTATTCCTGACTGAAGTTTAGGAAGTGTCATCGCTCATTTTGAAATTGTAGTGGCTGACGCCATTAACACACAAGAGCTTACTGACCAGTCAGAAAACCTGACCCAAGCTCTGGATGCCTCCTTTAATCTGGACATAAAAGGTTTCTATTCCCTACTGTAGTATGCCTACTGTCTATATATTTTATCCTTTATTATTTTACATTGTCTTTTCTGCAGGTGCTGTCACCATGACAGGACTCGAGGACCCTGTGAAGTACAACTCTAAGCACAACATCACCTGCTCAACTTTGAATCCTGACGTTATACCAATGTGGTGGCACAATCAATTCAATAAAATAACCAACGGTAGTGAGTCTCGGATAACAGTCAACGTTGGATCTGGGACAATAAAATCATGGTCACTCTCTCTCTTTAAAATAACAGAACTCTGGGCAGGTATGTTTGTTTCTGAGGCTTGGTTTTATTTTCTCATGGCTAAATCGGTCTGTTTTTAAAACAGTTGTTCTGGGTCACAATAGCTATTTTCGAGAAAAATGAAGGGTAATACGCATAAATTACATTGCAATACTGCCACCTACTGGATTTATTACTCTACTGGCAAATATCCATACCAATTAACGTCTCCAGTAATCAGAAATGAAAGAGGATCCCCGTGGTTACCGCTATATTATTATCTTTTTATTTTGAGAAAATTGCAGCAGACTATATATTAAAGAATACTTTAAAAAAACAACACAGTTGTTAGGTTAATTGTCAATACTGTACTACTTGTCGTGACGCGTTAGTGGGGCTCAGAAAATTGGAGGAAAGCTAAAAAGGAAAAAGCAACAAAACCAAATAACGCCGTAATCTTCGGATTGTCAAATTATCGATGGTACCTGAATGCACCTTGTGTGTCAGTTTCGGCATAATCTCATAATCTGTGCAGACCTGCTGGTTTGCAGCTGTTATGAATCCCCTCTGATCCTTAAGCTAACGTGTTACACAAATTATATAAGTAGGTAATTCAGAATAAAAGTTAAAGAAAAAAAAACATGCCTTGGCATTGGAATGTTTGGGAATCGCTAACCTGGTCCATGCTTGTATTTTCCTTCTGTAGGAAAGATTGAATGTCGCTACCAGAATAAGATAAATTCAATTGTGACAAATTACTTTGCCAGTGGTGTGCTGGACGTTGCTGTCCTGCCAATCATCGACATCACCACTCACCCGCAGTTTCCACGCTGTCAGAACGAGGATGTCCAATTCGAGGCAAAATGTACAATTCAGAGGAGCGCTGAAAACTACACTGTGACATGGGCAAGTCAATCAGTTACAATTCTACAGAACACCCATGGTAAGTCCTTCTCACTCACTGACTAGACTCAGAGGCAGTCCCAAAGTCTGGTTTCCCAGCGGTCAATTGTTTTGTTGTTGTTGTTTTATTTTTAAATAATTAATTGAAATTTTATTGAAATTTCATGTCTTACTTACAGTTTTACCAAATGAAGTTCTCTAGGTAAATTATAGCACGTGGATTTTCTGTTCCTAGTTGTAGTAGTTTTATTCGAATTAACACATTTTAGTGGATTTGGGTACTACATCTTTTTTTGTAGTTTTTGTTATTATCCTGTTGTTTCAGTTCTAGTCTGTCTTCAGTATAGCTATTCTTGACTAACATTTAGCTGTTTATGGTTTTTGGTTTCTGCTTTCTGCGCGTGTGTGTTTTTTTTATCTGTAAGCTATTTTGAAATAGTCTTTAATAATCTAAGACAATTTAGGTAATAATCTTCATCATCTATTTGTGTCATTCTTTTGGTTAATTATTTGCCTGATCTAAATCTCCTTTTGCTATAATTAAAAAAAAGAAAAGCCCATTTTGGCTATGATGTAAGCTAGCTTTTCTTGTTTCTTGTTCTTTTTTTTAACTAAATGTCACTATTTTGTGAGATACATAGAAAAAGATTTCTTTTTAAAAAAGATCTATCTAGTTAGTTACTTTTGCATAATTGAATCTTGTCCTGTTTGAAAATATGTTTTGACTCTGCTGTTTTCAAAGCATCTAGGATTCCTCATGTTAAGACCATGTATGACTTGTGTATATTTTCTCCTTGTAGTTCGCTTGGCTAATTCACTAGTTTACCAATCTAAGGCAGTGATTGACTGCAATTCACTCACACAAAATCTCGAGATGACTTGCATGTTTGAGAACAGACTTGGTCAAAATAGGAGCGCTACAGTAACTATCAACGTCATAGGTGGTACGTATAAATTGTTTTCAATGAGTTATCAATAAAATATATAAGATAAGATTTAATAAGATTAAATTGTCATTACGTAGATACACGTACATATGTTTGTAGATAAAGGATTTCAGGTAACTTGTGGTACATTTTGTGTGGTACATTTCCCTGGCTAACACAATTGTTGTCTCAGTTTTCTAATATATTTATTTCAGTTTTGTTGGTGTACAGCCATTTAAATATCATCCTTTACAAAAGAGAAATTATTGTTCCTTTGACTTCATGGTCACTTTTGTCCTGTCTGTTAATGAATTAGACTAAGTCTGGATTTGAGTTTTACCTGGAAAGTTCCCAGAATTTCTTTAACATAAATGGAATAAAGTAGTAAATTCCATATAAATACATACAGTTTATTATATTAGAACCAGCCTAACAGTGGATTGTGTGTCTTTTCACGTTTTACAACACAGTAAATATTTGTGGATGAACAAAGGATGTTACAATCTTTACTGGCTTCAGTGAAATTCAATCACTACATTAGCAAAAATAAAATGTATATGTGATTGTTTTATTCTTATTATCCATATAATATTGTTACAGTATTTTAAACTTCTAAAAATATTTTTTACTCTCATTATGCTTTTTCTTTCTTCCAGTTGGCGACAAGTACTGTCCGGCTGAAGATGACTGGGAAGATACCAAAGCTGGGTTCCGTGCAACGTTAAAATGTGACAATGAAGAAGGAAATAAATGGAGGAAATGCAGGTAGTTAGGTGGGGCGGGAACTCAGCACTATGTTTATTAAGTAAACTGTGTAAAAAATTCAAAAGGCTTGCAACAAAGTATTATATATATTTATATGCATTATTTTTTTGAATAGCAATTCGACTGTGTGGGAACAGGTGGAATCTGAATGTGTACACATGGATGTCTATAACATGCACAAAAGAGCAACGGTAAGTCCAGACCTACGATGGCTGTTGCAGTTGTGTATGAACTTTTAGGGACTAGTAATTTATTGTACTTTGTCCCTGTGCAGCAGGTCGGCATTGGCATCGGCACATTGGAGGAGAACGCTGAAGGAGTGATTTCCAGCCTTAGCAACATCACTAACCAAACAGAGACCATGAGGACATTTGCCAACATGAATTTCTCAGTTGATGTGCTGTCAATTTTAAGCAAAAAAGAAGTTCAGGTCAATCAAGAAATGACAGTAGAAGTAAGTACTTTATCCAATGCATGATATTTGAGGTTTAGGATGAAAAGAAAATCTAAACTGGTACTTCACTTATTACTCTTATAATTTGAATTTTCTTTTTCTTAATTATTTTTCCCCATTGCATCGTTAATGACTGAAAATTAGCAAATAATTCAACTTAAAGAGTTTAATTAATGTATTTACTTCAGGGTTTGCTGTATTTAACCAAAGCATATATGTTAGGTTTAACCTTGTAAAAATAGTTGGTAAGGTGCTTTTTTGGTAAAATATATTTGAATAAAAACATTAGGATTCTCCTCTCATTAATATTAGGATTCTACAAAACAAAAGTGTCTGATGTATTTTCTCTGCCAAAACTGAATTGAATAATTCATTGGTACAAAAAAAGCAAGTGGGAGTTGAAAACAAATGTGTTTTATCAAATTGAACCAGAACACATTTTTTTAGTTCCAGCTGCAGTACCACATATGTCCAACAGATGGCTTATTGAGACTTCACCCAAATCTACTAACAACTAATTAATTAATTATAAATAATTCAGTCATTCTGACAAAAAAAAATCTGTCATATTAATTACATTTACAGTGAAAAATCACCACTCAATGCAACACAGTTTAATGTTTTTAAAACCTTATTGATCAATTTTCATTTTCCGTGAGTACATCTTACGTTACGGCTACCTAAACTTCAGGCAGCATGGAGAAACTGAGAATCCACTTCTGTTGACTTGAAATGATATTTTACAACAAAGTACTAACATTCATACAGAATGAATACACATAAATTAAATTCACGTCAAACACTGTTCTTCTTCTTTTCCAGAAACTTGTGTTCTCCTCCAGCAATTTGATGGAAACATCGTATGAAACATTGTGGAAAGAACAAAAACGCGAAGACAATATGACATTAGCTGAAATATACTTGGAGTCTATTGAGAAATTAATTAGTAAGGCGAACATCACTGACATTATCCAAAAGGATAACGTGGAAGTAGTTGTATGTAAGAATTATAATGTGCCAGGTAAAAAGTGTACTAATGAGGTCCTTAATGCTACAGTCAATTTGGAAAGCACCGAAGTTGGTAATGTAACAACAACCGGATTTAAACAACTGGATAAATATTTGCCCAACAATTATGATGCGTTTGATCCCTCCAGCATTGTTGTGTCAACAACATTTTCCACAGAGAGCAAAGCATCCAGTTCTGTTTCAATTGAAATTGTCTTCCCAATGTTTTGTAAAAGACCTCCGAATGTTGAAGTCAAGTGTGTCTCATGGGACAACGTGACCAAAAGCTGGTCGGACCAGGGATGTCAGTGGAAAGGTGCTTCCCATGAGGGAAGCTGCATTTGCAACCATCTTTCTACCTTTGCGATATTAATGGCTAAGAAACCATTGAAGGTCCCTTTTCTGCATGATATCACCTTGGCTGGAGTTTCAGTATCGATCATATCACTTGTTTTGAGCCTGTTGACAGAACTGTCTGTCTGGGCTTTAGTAGTTAAATCAAATACTTTGTATTTACGGCATACTGCCCACATTAACATTTCTCTGTGCTTGCTTATCGCACATTGTTGTTTCTTAGCATCTTTAAAGCCAGAGGAACTCCCCCCGACACTCTGTAGTATCACTGTGGTGTTGAAGCATTTCTTTTACCTCTCTGTGTTTTTTTGGATGCTGTGTCTGAGCACAACCCTCATTCATCAAGCAGTTTTCCTATTCCACGAGGTGAGCAGGGGAACCTACCTGAAGTTCTCCATGGTCCTCGGATATGTTTGTCCCTTCCTCATAGTTTTCATTACTTTTCTTTCTAACAACATCGGTAAAGAAGGATCCTATTTCTCCAAGGACACCTGCTGGCTGGTTTACCGTGGATTTCATGGATCCATGATAACATTTCTTATACCAGTTGGTGTAATTGTTTTTATCAATATGATGTTCATGCTGGTGGTTATTCTGAAGCTCATCGACCATCCTATGAATACGGGAGCGTCCAATGAAAAAAAGAGCCATGCTGTCAAAGCTGTCATGAGGTCATTGGTCCTGCTGACCCCCATCTTTGGTATCACCTGGATGCTTGGATTTGGTGTAACAAATCTTGACCTTACCTCTGGGCCCATAGCATATGCAGTCAATTATGCTTTTGTCATAACGAATGCATTTCAGGTATGTTTGATATCATCTTCAACCAATCCAATCTGAGCAAGACTAACTTCCCCGTCCAGTAACTGTGTCTGTGTCTGTGTTTCTTTACAGGGTTTGTTTATTTTTTTGACCACCTGCCCAGGAGACAAAATGGTAAAGTAACTATAATGACATCACTATCATATGAACTGTACCCCAGTAACAGTAAAAAAAAGCCCTCCAAACCACAGCAATATCTGATCTGGTGTCTCTCATCGCATTGTAGTGTGTGTGTGCCAAGTGTTAAATGAGTATTGTAAAAAAAAAAAATTCGATTCTGTAGAACTTCAGAACCCATATTTCCCTTTTGTGAAATCTTTGAAATGAAACTTTTTTTCTTTAACTTGTTCACACGAGGACCAGGGAGACATTTTCTTACGTATGTAAACAAGAGCCAAACAAGAAAGATGTGGCACCAATAAGCAAAAGTTAGCTGTGCTGTAAGAGCACCCTCTGATGAACAAGTAACTTTTTTATGTGATCTGAGGTGTAACCTCGAGTTTTAACCCCCAGATTATACTATTGGGAACAGCTGGGCTGGTCATTCAAGGTTGCTTAATAATACAAGAAATGTCTTCAAGACAGACATGATAAACAGATGATTCAATAAAAGTTCTATTTTAATAAACTGCAATATTGGCATTAGTGATGTCACGTGAACATTGATGATGTCTTGGTCATTCTGACAGGTTCGTGAAGCACTTCTGAAACGCCTGAAGTTACGGGTAAGTGTATGACAAATATATTTTTTCCCTATGTAATCCATTTATGATTAGCAGCAAACTTTGTTTATTCTCTGCTCTCCAGAAAACAGAATCTACCTCTGTGTGCTCCACTAACCTAAACTCAACAGAGAAAAACTGAAAATCTACTCACCAAAGAAATACAAATTTCAAAGTTGGAGTTTCTTTTCATCACCAGACTGCAACATTAAGCAGTGGTCTATGATAACAGCTCATCTACAGTCGAGGTTCAACCTCAAAGTATTTTGTTCTGAAATTAATGGAAAACCTTCTCGTTTTAATGTAAAAGGGGAAAACTCCACAGCCGTATCCTTATATCTTTCTTTGCATTAAAATGGTTGTAGTAGTAATTGCAATATAGTCGGACAATATATCTGTATTTTAAAAATCGGAAATCTGATTTTAAATTTAAATGATATTGAAACTCTAGGTTATATGTATGCTTATGTATCAGTTAATACTGTAAATATGTCTTCAAACACAGTAAGCTCAGCTAAAATGTTGTGCATCTCCTTTACCCCGTGTTGTGTAACAGTGATTAAGGTCAACACAGGAATGTTGCCGTTCAAAAAAATGTTCTCCCTGTTCTCTGCCATATTCTGTCCAATCCTTGTCTGTGTCCTCCACTGCAATCCCTTTCTGGGCTGCCATCTTACGGTAGGCCTGGCTCTCAGTCTCTGCTCTGCAACATACAATAAAAAGAAATTTGTGGAATCATCTGGAAGGTGTATGTATCGTCTAAAAACCTGTGAGTTTAAATAAAAATACAGATATTTGATCC